CGAATCCATAAGGCCGGGCCTAATGATTTCATCAAGAACTAAAGAGTCAAAAAACAAAGTAATAGCAAGCAATATTCATGTTGTGATGAACGGACCAAATTTGAGTGTGCCACTGGATAAATGATTCAGTGGTTGACATAATAATGAGCAAATAATTTAGCACATGATCATTTTTATAGGATTAATTTTTAAATGAAATCGCAGTTGCGTATAGCTTTGCATCTAAAAAAACGCTCAAAATCGTGACAGAGAATCTCATACAAGGGATATCACTCAGTGGCTTAGTGGCATCAATATAAGGAGTGGACCATTTATTGAATTGATGCATTGATACCCGCGGTTTGAAAGAGTACCATTATTCGGAGAAACTAGAGAATACCTGAATATATAGGGAAGTTGGTTGGAATAGAATATAACGGCGACGTGCTGCAGAGGATATCTTAAGCAACATGGTTGAGGGACTTCGGTGAGACGCCTGCAGGCAAAGGTCAAACAAATCCAGCTTAAGGTATATACTTCAAGCCTCCAATGAAAATTGGTTATCCTACATAGACGACGGTTTCATGAAACGGAGTTTTTACTACATCCGATAAATTTTAGAGTCCCTTGCGGAGAGTGTCTTTGGCCTATATCCGGAGCGTGAGGACTTAATAGCTCGACCTCGTGTGGGCGGGGTATTTGATATGTGTACTTAGTATGCTTATAGCATATCTGGATTAAATGTGTTGCTGAAAAGGGGAAAATCTGCTGACAATACAATTGGTTGAGCCTTAAAAATCTTGATGGGCACTACGAAGTACTAGTGTTCTTATTCGCCCCTCGTATCTCGCGTAATGACATGGAGCACAAGCAGAAGCCCCTTGATTATGAGTATCGCTATTGGGTATAATGTCTTTGCTACCCGCATAGTAGCTACTAACCTAAGAAACATGGATATTAGGTCGGCTAGCTCATTGTACTATAACCAGTGACTTGTAAACGAAACGAGCTCTGTATAATATACTTTCATTATGAAATAGTATATAGGTATATATATACCAATATGTAATTTAATGAAAATAGTCCTCTACTGTTAAAACAGGGTGTTTACTCTTTTTCTGCAGAGATACCTCTTATGACTCCCCTGGCCAGCACCTCATCAATCATTAGCTGTGTAAATGCCGGATGGATCGATCTCTCCAGTGGAGATGGTCAGCACACTAGTACGCTTTTGTCTCGTATACCCGATTTGGTATACGACAATGACCGCTAACAGTTGATGAAAATATACTGTGTCTCATACTTTCTTTGACTGTAGTATTGCATATCGGAGATATATCTTAAGTAGGATGCTTGCCGAATTAGGTATACGAGAGAGTATCACACCAAATGAGATATGGTGCTTGAAGAAACTGGAGCCCATGGTTGAAGAATTAGATATAAAGTGAGGTGTTGCCATTAGGAATCCTAGAAGACTTCTTTTTCAGCCAAAAACATAGAATTGCATTGATTTGTACGCTACTATACACTCCATAATAAATCATGTCCGCCGCCACTAAGAAGAAGTTCAACAACCTCCCTGCGCCTGCACCTCCAGCCAAAAGTTTGCTTGGCTATCATCGCCAGTTGTCACCCACGGCCGCAGTTAAAGTCAGTCCTCTCTGTCTCGGAGGCATGGGATTTGGAACAGCATGGGAAGACATTATGGGTAGCTGCGATAAAGAAGCTTCTTTTGCGCTGATGGACTACTTTTATAGCCAAGGAGGCAACTTCATTGATACGTGCGTTGCTCAAGTCATTCCAATCCATCAACAAGAAAATTTATGCTAACTTCCAATGTTCCTAGAGCCGGAAACTACCAATGCGGAGAGTCAGAGGAAATCATCGGCGAATGGATGAAAGCACGAAATAACCGAGAGGAAATCATCTTGGCCACCAAGTATACGTCTGCTTGGCAGTTGCACAACCAGGACACAAAGATTCAGTCTAACTATGGTGGAAACAACAAGAAGTCTCTAGTGATATCTATCGAAGCGAGTCTCAAAGCACTACAAACATCTTACATTGATTTGGTTAGTTTTTGTCCCCTTTTTTCTTTTTGAGACGTATCTTGGTCCGCTGAATGAACTAATTTCGAACGTGTATTAGTACTATGTACACACCTGGGACTTTACAACTAGCATCCCGGAACTTATGCACTCTCTGCACAATCTCGTCGCGGCCGGAAAAATCCTCTATCTAGGAATTTCTAATACCCCAGCTTGGGTTGTCGCCAAGGCCAACGAGTACGCTCGCCAGAAGGGACTAACTCAATTTTCAGTCTTTCAAGGGCAGTGGAATGCTGCTGAGCGAGAGATCGAGCGCGAGATTGTTCCTATGTGTATTGACGACGGCATTGCTCTGGCGCCCTTTGGTGTCCTAGGAATGGGTTACTTCCGCACTTCAGCCCAGAGAGAAGCTGAGAAGGAACAAGGAGCTAGAGAGGGCCGCAATGTCCCCTTCGTCGACAAGCCCCAGAAGACTGTCATGGCTGATACTCTGGAGAAGCTAGCTTTGGCTCGCGGCACGTCTATCACCAGTATAGCCTTGGCCTGGGCTAGAACCAAGGCCCCATATGTCTTCCCGATTGTGGGTGGCCGCAAGATCGAACACCTCAAGGCCAATATTGAAGCACTGGGCATAGATCTGACTGATGAAGAAAAGAATGCAATTGAGGATGCTATACCATTCGACTTTGGATATCCTCAGACATTTTTGGGTGGACCAAAAGGCACTCAATATGCGAAGGATGCTTGGACAACGAAAAGAATGGGACACTTTGATTGGGTATCGCCACCGCAGGTACGTTGACATGGAACTTGACGCCTGCTATCCTACCTATGTTAACAAATTATAGGCACCCAAACCTCATCCTTTATAAGGTAGCGGGACTCCAAAGGCTATGCCATTAAATGTTTGTAGCTCATTAGCGATCTGCCACTTGGAGAATAGGCTAGCTACACTATTATCTAGACAACATTAGAATTCAGAATACAAGGTCACATTATCATTTTGACAGTTGAAGCTAAAGCTATCACCAGCTAACCAATCATCCATATTCGTGCCGTTGAGTTCAAACTATCACTCCAACATCCCTTCGCCAATGCAGCCATTTCCTACAGATGGCGCGGACTACCGCTACGCGTATGTAATTAACCGAACAAAGCCAAAGCACTGTGTCAGCATCTTGGCCGCACTTCATCATGCCGCCCTGCCGCTAGCGAGCTTCAACCGGCGAGACTTATTTAAAGAACTATTCACTCTTCTTTCCATACAGAAGTCAATCCGATAATTGCAATTTACTCTTCTTTTACTGTGTGTCGAAGCAATGGCAGCGTCTCCCACCGGAAACTTCGGGGTATTTGCCATCTCAAAAGCGGGAGAGAGCCTAAAACTTACGACTCCACGAATAGACGATCATGGACGTGAGATACGCCAACGGAGACGACACGTCAAGTCTCGGGCTGGATGTTTGGCATGTAAATCATCCAGAGTCAAGGTAAAATGTCAATCAAGCTCAATCTCTCAATACTCATCAAAATTTTCCAAGGAGAGAAGGACAAGAATTAACTGGCAGTCTTACAGTGCGATGAGTTGCTACCTGTTTGCGCGAGGTGTTCAGCCAAAAGTATACCTTGTCAGTATGATTTTAGCATCATGTCGATGTTGCCAAACCATCCACGGCACCAAATCCACTATCAGAGATCTATCAATAGCTCCGCCCCAAGATCTCTTGGACTAGGCCTTGATATGACAGTCCTACAGCTCCTGTACCATTTTGATCACCACACCGCGTCGACACTTGCCTTTGGTGCCCGTGTATGGAGAGATGGGGTGATCCCTCTGGCACTAAATGTTCGTTGTCCAAGGGCAATCTTTTATAATTCGATAAATGCTAATGCTTACTAGGATGAGGTTGTTATGCATGCAATCCTAATGATATCCGCCTCTCACCAGCATAGCATCTCGCCCGATAATGCTGCATACATCAAAGCCATGGCCTATCATCTGGACCTTACTCTCTCTGGTTTCAGGGGTCTCTTGGCACAAGGCACAGAGAATTGCAATCATGATGTAGTCATCGCTTGCTCTCTCTTGCTAGTCCACTATGCTTGGTCCATGCCCTTCTTTGCATATGCAGACGACAAAATCGCCATGAGAAGTGAGCCAGACAGGCTGCTCAAATTTGCTGCAGGTCTCAAAGCAGTAATCATGAGTACGAAACAAGATGAAAGCTATCCTGATGGCATTTTCAAGTCTCCCTTGTCCAGCGCTACGATCCAAGGATTCCAAGACTGGGAATCAGCTCTAGTTACTAGATTCGACTTTTGTGAATATTTCTTTGGTGCTCGGCCAACCACTTTGGATGGTTCTTTCGGATGCTGCATGCACCATGGATCTTACAATGCTTTTGATCGACTAGCTCCTCTCTTAAAAACTATGGACGCTGTAAGGAACGGTCATGCCATCCATCACTTGATACTTCAGATACGGATATATACCCTCTTCTGGCCCTCCAAGGCATCAAAAGCTTTTGAAGAAGAATTTGCCGTAAACCAAACTGAAGCATGTGTTGTGATGCTTACTTTTTATGCCACCGCTTGGTGGCTTCTTTCCGAGAGCGTTTGGTGGGCTAAAACTCGAACAAAAGTGATGGGCGAGGCCATTCTTGAATGTTTGGACAAAAACAACAAGGATGAGAATTGGGAAACAAATATTGGGAATATCCGCCACTATTTTAAATTTACGCCAAATGGCACTGGTGGTGGATGGACAATTGGAGATCCGGGATACCACCCAGCGATCGAGTTTTAATAAATGCGTTAGTGGTATATAATCAGGGATAGAGGTGTGACATGCATTGCATATATTGATTTTTATTATCTATCTTTTTCTAGTTCTAGCAAAAAATTCAGACCCTATATGCATTTTAAAGGTCAATGTGGGAAACATACCCACAAAAAGACAAAAATATATCGAAGCGACCACGCCAGGAGTCGAACCTGGAATCTCTAGAGGAGGTGATTCTCAACCGAAATCTAGCGCCTTAGCCATTAGGCCACGCGGCCGATTGATCTTGTTGTTTGGAATGCGCATTCTTGATATTCATAAATCCATATGCAATCTACTGGCCCAATTCCAGAGAAATCACGATATGAGGGGGATATAATCCGCGGAGATTTTGCGAATATAGGCTGTGGGAACTAAGTGTCGGAAATTTTCTGCGTGGCGGGTGGGCAATGCGGATATCATACAGTGCCTCGTTGATAAAGCTGTGCCCGGAGCTAATGCCGATGCTGATTGCCTATTTCGGCAGTAAAGATGGGCAATCATTTTATGCCAATATAAGAAAATTAAGTATGTGACCTTTAAATTTGGCCTGCCCTTTGAGGTAAATGGCAAGAGGAATAAGGGCATAAGTACGGGATGTGGAAAAGAGAAGGGAGAAAAGAAATATCGTTAACACTGTATAATGATTCTAGACACAGGACTCATCCTCAATAGACTCAGCTTAATGGTCTTCTACATTTTCATCTCTTCCTGGGTACATGATATCTTGAACCCATACAGCGCGGACAAGGTTGACAAATACAAAGACAAAGATAATGACCATGCAGATGCTCATTCCTGTAGTCACCCACTGCATACTGGTACTGGCCAGCTCTTTGCCGATAGAGATTGTTGCTAATGTAAAGCCTGTATTGGGAAACACCATAGACCACCAACCCAGATGAAAATACTTTGGCGGCGATGAAACAACAGCAACGACGGCAATACCGAACCACCAAAAGCTGAGGGCCCAGAGAGAAACAGCCACAGAAACTGCAATGACCCTGATGACACTTTTCTCGAACGCTAGCTCTTGGATACTGCCAGGCACTCCATTCGCCATGCCAATCAAAGCCAAGGCTGTGAATGCTGGTGGACCAACGCACATGAAAAGACCAGGGCGATGTTCTCGGTTCGGAAGACCAGATTGAATCAAGCGTCCAATCATGTGCGAGTACATCAGTATGGCAACCGACATCCCAAGACCTTGACATGTCAGCCCAGCGACGAGAATTGGCATAGCGGCGATATCAGGCTGTGTTGATGCTATGACAGACGCAATCGTCCCGGAAAGCATAATTGGAAAGATTGGCAAGATTAAAGTTGGCATAAAGCTCTGGAGATTGAGGCTATGAACCGCAAAGACGTAGCTGTATTGACCAATAGCTAGCACAGCTGTTAAAGCGACGTATATCCAGAAAGCTGCTTGTATAGCCCATTTTAGTCCTTCATGATTGTCTGGTATGGCATATCTTTGGGTACTTGTGATGATTGTAGCGACGGAGAGAAAGAAAGTCGGGAAAAAGAAGCCTTCTCGTGGGTGACTAAGGGAGCGGATCATTTCGCCTGTGTGGAAGGCAAATCGAGCTGCCATGGTCATTGTAACCAGCGAAAATATGATAATGTTTACGATATAAACCACCAAGCCAATAGTCTTCAGACCATTGAATTGATTAGGCTGTGCAAATATGAGCAAGGATAGCCCTCCTGTGCTCATCGGTAGAGTATACCAAGCCCACGTGAAGTGTTGGAGTCTCTGTCGTATAGATAGCTTCGGCCTATTTGGATCGTAGATATCGACTGGTTCCTTGGTAATTTCCTCGTCGTCTGCGTGCTGCTTCTCGTGTGTTGGCGTGTTAGTGCGAGTCACATCGTCAGAAGGCACTCGCGTGTGGTTGGTGGCGCTAGTTCTGGGCCTTGCTCTCTCAGTAGCGTCGTCGCTAATGGGAACAAAGAACTCTTGAAGTTCTTGACCCTCAGGCTCGGATCTTCCAGGAGCAGGTAGGTTGTCCCATGTTAGAGACTGTGCTTTATGAGCCATAATAGATGATGTCGTGTGGTGTCGAGCAAGCGACGGCTTGGAGAAAAGAAAAAAAGTATACTAGTATCTAGTATGCTGGAAAACTCTGTAGAGTCGAAAGGTTGGATTGATGAGCTTTGAACACGTTAGGAGATTTCACATCTAAATATTCTAGAACATCCTTCCTAACCTTGTTTGCTTTCCGAGCGCAGGTGAAGCCAGGGCCCCAGCAACTTCCCGATATGTATCTCTTAGACGGGTGGCGGTACAGGGAGCTGACGCAACAAATGCAAAGCCCGGGTGCCATAATTAGGTATCAATAGGCAGCGTGCCTCATTTCGGTAGATCAGTTAGCTACAGTGAGTTACATTGGCTACCTCTGTGTGGCCTTGTCACGTATCAAACATCTTGGATATGCCAGCCAAGATGATGTATGGCAGAAGTCCCCGACCATAGCCCCGGCACTTGCGCCGCTCTTAAAAGCCGATCGCACTAATCGAGTGTGGAAAGGGAGCAATCAATTTGGCTAGCGAGTCAATCTGCCGGTAAATTCTCAGGGGTTGATACGATCTTCAAGGACTAAAATAATGTCCGTATCATACCTCGGAGCGAGGTAAGAATTCGCCAAGTCTCCTATCACCCTACCGCAGTGGGGCCTTCAAAGATAAAGTATAGAATAGTAGGTATTCTGATGAATTTATATGATGATCAATTGTGCAGTCGCTATGGGACAGGGAAAAGCTATTTGAGCAAACTCATGCGAGCTTGATAAATGGGCGGATCCCGTGGCCACTCAAGGAACAATATCTATTTGATAGCGCGCATATATTTGTGTCATCATTGACCTATGCCTATATAAAGTCCAATATCTAGTGTAATTGCTTCTATTTAAAAAAAAAAAAATTGAAATAATTTATGAAAGTATTCAGTGTAGAAGATAGCTCTATACCCTTACTTTGCTAAGGAAGTTTGTAATACTTCTATATTCGTTAGTATAATTATCTTCTAAGTATGCTTGATACCCACACAATAAGCTTGGCACCTACAGAGATAAGAAATTTAGCATGGTCGTATGCACCTCAGAAACTATCCTGAAGCGCGGTATTGCAACAATGGGGCATGCAGGGGCGGCATGAAGTTTGCTTTCAAGGTTAATCCTAGCGCTGTAAACGGAGAGCCCGCAGATATTTTTCTAAGCTATATACAGAAGAATGCCGCACATCTGCAACCAAAAAAAAAAAAAAAGAATCACAGTCCAAGGCTTCACTCTATTCAAGAAATGCGTTGCGATGGATTATACTGTAAGCACAAGCATGTACTTGGTTCGAAGTGATCGGCAGCTTGGCCTTGGGCATCGGTGAGCCGATACCCTGGCAGTTTGATAACAAAAAGGAAGCCTGCGCAAACCAACAAGTAGGAGGATAAAAACACTGAAATTTTATCTCTTGGCGATACCTATTATCGCCTTAAGATACATACAATGAGCCCAAGTATGGAGCCGTAGAGATGTAAATGAGACAGCTTACGCGTTGCTATTCAGTGCCAAGCAAAAGCCGCGATAGCAAGCTATCAAGACGTGCAAGGATGCTGAGTCAAGGACATTTGCGGCAGCAAGCTCTAGCGCGATAACTATAATGAGACAACTGAGACTGACATGCACCGCCTCTCTATATTGTCCACGCATTGGGCCTCTACGATGTCCAAGGCTTGTTCGTCAGCCGCCCCCCCTGTTAAACATAGTAGTACATCGCACATTCGATCTGGCGCTCGCCACGTGCCAAGATCAATTAATGACGATTATCATCAATTCGCAAGGCGTATTCAGGTTCTTAGAATGCCTAAGGATCCCTTCCTGTAAGGGCGACTAATGCCGCTTCACTTGGAAACTGTAATTTCGGTATACAGATCTGCATAGGTTGGGTCTGCTAATTTTCTTTTTCTTATCCGTAAGCGATATGCTTAGCCTCTTGAGAGTTGCGCAACACTGGAAAGGGGAACTTTCAATGTAGCAAATATCACATCGCCGCTCTGAGCTCGTATATACGACAAAGCAAACAACTGGTATAAAACCATAGATCCAATCCCATGCACATTCGGCTTCCACTCCTAGGCGATGTTAATCGCTATAAATAGAAAATATTCTTCGTCGTTACGGAGTACAGTTGAGCTAGTCAAGGATTCTTTGGTGCCCCCTTCAGCCAAGACTGATGATCGACAACTAAACGTTTCAAGTGCTCATTTCATATTTACTTCTTGCCCTCAACTTCTCCCCGTACGCCCTGAAAATCCACGGAATCGGCGCCATGGCCAACGTCACAAATCCCAGAATACTCGTAGCCCACCCTGCGCCAAGACGCTCATACATTTGCAGCGCAAACAATGGAAACGCGGCAGAGAGCAGATACCGGCTGAACATCATGGCTCCCGAGGCCGACGCTCCGTACAACGGGCCATAGGCGTCCAGCATGAAGAGATTGGCGCCTGCATAAACAAGCAGAGAGGATAGCATAACAAGGCCTTGGAAAATAATAGGCACAATCCAGTGGACATGGAAATGCACCGTCCAGCCAACAATAAAAAGACAAATCGGCAACAGGATGCTCCCTATCAGAGCAGACATGAGTCGATTCTCTGACGGCAGCGGCTCATCATCATCATGGCCAAGCTGCCACTCCGACAGACGCTTTTGATAAGACTGAAGATCAATCAGAACTAGGGGCACCGCTGCAAGCGCCGTGCCGCACATGAGCCCCAGATACGACAGCGGCTCACTATCCATGGACCATCCATAGTAGGTCCGAAATATCCACGGGACAGACACAACAAACGTATACAGGAGGCCGAAGAGGAATCCGTTATACACACTGACCAGAGTAACAATCGGCTCGGTAAACAGCATGTGCAAGGGTCTCTGAATCAGGGTCGTGAAGAAATATCTAAACGCTCGTCCAGGCGACGTTCGCTGCGACGCGGAGTCCCGTAGGCCCAAACGCGTAGCCCGCCGCTTAAGAATAACCTTCTTGTACGTCTCGCGAGTGAAGCATACAGGGATATAAAACGCCACAGTGATAAATATAGATATCCATTGCGTCCACTGCCATGGTTTGACGAGGAGAACAAACCCTCCTATCAACGGGCCCAGAGCCGCTCCAAAGGAGGGCACGGCATAGTATCCTCCCAGACTGACACCCCGATACCGTGGCGGCGTGAAGTCGAGCA